TGGAATCATAAAACCAAGGAACAGGAGAGTAGGAAGAGTCCTTAGAAAATACCCTGTTCTATCTTCTCTTTGTAATGGCTTGAGATTGAATCTGGGATAAAAGAAGTTCCTTATTCAGATACTTAAACAGCTTCCTCTGTACAGCTCTGGTACCTGGTGCTTACTGTTTTTACAGCACTTACCAGGTTGCATTGTCATCGCCAGTGAAAACATCTGCCCCTCCTCCAAACTTGAAATGCATTGAAAGCAGAAATTGTTTTGCGTCTTTATTCCCTGATGCCTAGCAGAATTTGTCATAAAGCAGGTGGTCAAACGTTCATTGAAGAAATCAAAGTTTCAAGTAAAACAGTGAGGAAGTTACCTTTCCATTAGGCAAAAGATATGCAGGCATTTTATTGCCCGTAGCTTTACTGTGCTTTGCAAATGTTGTGTTTTACAAATTGAAGACAAGAACCACCCCACCCCACCCCACCCCCGCCGCCACCAGCAAAAATACTATGACTCGCTTTATTGCAGTGGTCCAGAATGGAAAATGCAATATGTTTGAGGTATGCCTGTAGTATCTTGGTTTCATTACCTTTAGGGGGATAGCATTTTCCTTCCAATGAATCAGGATGATTTGTATCGCTATTTTGCTTATTTGCAAGGTATCAAGTTGGCTAGTATGAGGCTCTATGTACGGTATAGATCCTCTCTCCAAACTCTACTGGCTGGCAGGCAATTCTTTCTGCTTACACAAGTGTCCTTATCCCAAGCTGGAAACAAAACGAAACCTCATGAACAGAACTATTTTCACTTTTGTATTATAAATCTTAAAACGTTATATTTTCATGCTGCCTCAACATCCCCACAAGTAGGCTGTGAGCACCTCACCCTGGTAATCAGGTAAACCTGTGTGATAAGGCTAGCCCCTGCTACAAGATCCACTTCTTGCCATCCCCTGACTGTGACCTAATGGCATTCAAATGTACCATGAAACCTTCTCATGTCTTTTGTTTGTGTGCTCTGTCCTGACCCCAATAAAGACACTTGCTCATAGGGGTGCTCTCTCTTCCCCTTCCCTCCACTCCCCTCCCCTCCTGTTTTCTTCTCTTCTCTCCCCTTTTATTCTTATTCTCTCTCTCTCCCCTTCCTTCTCCTCCCTCCCCCTTTCTCTCCCCCACCTGCTTGGTTGAGCTCACTCACTTGGTGCTCCCTCCATATGTACCCCTTCATGGCATAGGGTTATCTGTGAATATAGTTAACTTTGTTTTCCTGCATCTTTCCGGCATCACTTCTTGTGTCCTGGCTAATCACCTAATGAAAGAATAGAGAACAACTCCTCAATAATAACTGCAATGAATTATTTTATTGCTGTTTAAAGTGTACCATAGAGAGTGTATTTAAAAGTGCAAACCATGGGTCCTAAGACTAAGCAGGTAATCCTCAGTCTGGACTTGGGCCCTTGTTGACAACTTCTGCTGTCTGTGATGCTGCTAGTATAATCTCTAGCTCTTCACTGGAAAACCAAAAATGAAGTTCAAAAAGTGGCTCAATGCTTTCATGGGTGAGGGATCAATTGCAAAAGCATTTTCATGTAATATACAGGCTTTTCAAGCAACAGCAATGTGCCTGGTTCACCACTATGTCCCTGCTGGTTCAGATGGGACTAGTCCAATTCTGCCAATAGCTGCCACTAACAGCTAAAAGTTGAAAGAGTGGCAGTAGATGAAAGACTGGGAAATAGGTAGTAGGTAGAGGAGACTGAAAACAGAAGGGATGGGTGCCATTTACAGTACTGAATTCAACTGAGGATTTTCAAGTGCAGAGGCACTGAAATGCCTTTCTTCCTCTCATCTTTTGTAATAAATTCACCTCATTAGTATTCAAGCCAAATTACAGTGAAGATGGCCACAATTTTTTTTGTCTACCTCTTCTCTTGGTTGGCTAAGCATGGATGGGAACCTAGCTGCCTTCAGGAATGAAGTAAAGTATGCTGAAACCCACCCACCTCCACCCAAAATATATTGTCCATCTGCCCTGGCTGGTGTGGCTCAGAGGGTTGGGCACCGGCCTGTGCACCAAAGGATTGCCAGTTGTGTTCCCAGTCAGGGCACATGCCTGGGTTGTGGGCCAGGTCCCCAGTGGGGGGCACACGAGAGGCAACCACACATTCGTTTCTCTCCCTCTCTTTCTCCTTCCCTTCCCCTCTGTCTAAAAATAAATAAATAAAATCTTTTTTAAAAATGTATTGTCCACCCATCTGAAATCAAGACTGAAATTATTGTTATTAAAGTTATTCCTTTGGATCAAGGCATTGAAGGTTCCTATTAAAAAATGCAACTATGTTATCTCAAAAGAGTAACAGTAGTGCCTGGCACAGAGTTCTCTAAATGTGTCATTTTAAAGATTAAATTGTCACTGCCTATGGTTAGAACCTTAGTAAAGATTCATCTACCAGGTTCTCTTCTGTCTGCTGGGGCTGTTAAGGAGCCACAGTGGGAAGATTTTAATGTGGAACATTCGCAAAGACTAGGTAGCAGAGTCTGGGGTTTGAATGATGGTAGAGAAAGAGAAAACTGACAGCATGAGGAAATTTTGGGGACAAAAGAGCACTTTTAAACAGTGAGAAAGAGGGAAGAGAATTTGAAAATTAACATTTATTGATTCTTCTGTGAGTCAGGCACTGAATTAGATGCTTTCACATCTACCATTTTATTTAATCCTTATTTAATCCATAATCACTTTATAGGGAAAATATTAATACTCTCATTTTGCAGATGAGAAAACTAAGGTTCAGATTAGGAAAGTACTCAAGGTCACACACCACCTATATGTGATAGAATATAGACTTGAACCTGTATCTGTTTCCTAAGCCTATGTTCCTGAGCCATGCTATCTCACATTCGTCAAGGGTGGACCAACCTAGTCTCTGCTACCCACTTTGCCCTGCTGCTCCAACAACTTGCAAGTTCAGTCTTGCATGATCCCCAGGTATCTCCCTCACTCCTAGCCATGGACTAGCAAATGGAGGCAAAAGATTTCCATGGGCGATTATGTATGGAGAGACTTTGCATTATTAAATGGATAGAAAATTGGGAAGAGCCATGAACCATTATTCTAGGTGCCCAAGGATTTGGAAACTTTCTTTTCCAGACCCCAGCCTATGTCATGCCAAATCCAAGTCCCGGAGTAATCCGTGTACCAGTTGGGCCCCTGAGTCCTGCCCCATGTCTTCTGCCTGATGTGTACCAGTTTTCTGTACACTGGCAGCATGTCCACATAGACTAGGAGAAGAAAATATGAAAAGGAAAATAGTTTATGGGAGAAAGGATAAAAACTGTCACTTCCAGGGTAACTGATGTAGGCGTGAAATACTTGGAAGATAAAGAGGCTGCTTTTTCCTCACCACTGGAGAAATGAGCTAGGGAGAGGACTGTATAGACAAAGAGGTTCTTCCACAAGATGTTATAAAGGGAACTACCACCCAACTGGGATCCAGCTGCACTGCCTGACTTGGAAGGGTCTTTCCTCCCCTACAGCCAAGAGTAAAAGAAAAGTGGGGGAGAATTGATAGCCTCTGGAGTCATTAGTCAGGGGCTTAGGCTGCTATGTCCAGAGGCAACACCAAGGGAACAAGGCAGCTAAAGACAGTTTCCTTAACCTTAACTTTCAATCCCCATCCCATTCCAGCTCATTCTCACATCTCTCTCTTCCTTCATCAGTGAGATTGAGAGTCCTTTCATTAACCTTTTAGTTACCACCTCCAGGTAAAGCAGTCAGCCCCACACAGTCCATCATTGTCCCCTCCCCTCAAGCCTGGCTTTGTACTTGGGAATGGGAGGTACTGGCTTCCCAAATCTGTGAGGGTTGGGGGTTTGTTCACTGGCCCTTGGATTTCTGCTGTAAAAATTGAGCGGTAGGGACCGGGCATGCGCAGCATCTTCGGGTACATTGTGATGGGGACTGCTTCTGCGAGTCTCTACAAAGACTCCTGAGTAACCGCTAACCGCCCCTCAGACCCCCCTTCTTTAAGACAGACAAACAAACGCAGAGACAATGCAGCTTTTCTTTCTTCCTTTCTTTTTTAAAGGGCCAGTTGCAGCTTGAAAGACTGGTCCACTTGAGGACTAGTGTATTTCTATTGATCCCATCTCCCGTGTTGACAAACGCCAGCGCCAAGGCTTTGCAGTCCGTGGCTGCAGTTTGCAGTAGAGCTAAGCGGCGTGCGGCTTTAATTCCACGTCAGATCAACTTTGATCGATATCCCCCTACCGGCCCAATTGGAAGAGCCCAATTCACAGGCGATGAGCCTTTTCGCTGCTCCCTTATTTTTTCCCCTCTTCAGACCCACCATCTTCTGGGGGAGAAAAGTCTCGGATTTTCTTTATAATTTCCTTCTCTCTCTCTCTCTCTCTCTCTCTCTCTCTCTCTCTCTCTCTCTCCCCCCCCCCCCGTTTGATTTTTGTTTTTCGGTATTTTGTCATTTTTGTTTTGTTCTGTGTTTTAGGTCTCGGTCTCTCTTTCACTCTCTCTCTCTCTCTCTCTCTCTCCCCCCGCCCCCCCCCACCCCAGTGATAGGGGACAAGATCGCTTTGGCTAACCAAGCTTGCAGCCAGTGAACCTGCTTTCTAGATTGGTGTGAAGACAGAAGTGAGGTGGGGGCGGGGAGGGGGTGTGAGAGAGCCTAAGAGCAAGAAGGAGCAGAGAGACACAGAGAGAGAGCGACAGCGAGAGAGCGAGAGAGAGAGCGAGAGAGAGAGAGAGAGAGAGAGAGAGAGAGAGAGGGAGGGAGGGAGAGAAGGAGAGAGAGAAGGAGAGAGGAGGAGAGGAGGGGAGAGAAGAGGAGAGGAGAGGAGGTGGAGGAGGAGGAGGAGTGTAGGGTGGAAAGGAAGAGTGAGCGAGAGCAAGTTGAAGGGAGGGGGTTGTAAGAGCCAGTGAATTCTTTTTCTTTTCCTGTTATTATTTTGACGACTCCGGAGTTGCGCCCGTGCTCTAGTCAGCTTCGTTTTAGGCGCAGCATGGCTAGGCAGAAGAAAATGGGGCAAAGCATGCTCCAGCTGGTCTTCTTTTTAGTCCTGGGTCTTTTGGGTCATTCTCACGGAGGATTCCCCAACACCATCAGCATAGGTAAGAGCGAGCGAACCAGCCTTTCGGGCCGGGCTCTTCTGCACCCGAGACCACAGCCCTGGCGTGGCTACTGCGGCCGCGAGTCCCTGTCCTGCAATGCCTGGGGAGGGGACTGGGGACGGGGACCGGGCAGGAATCTCCGGGATTTGAGCTCCAGAGAGCTGGCCGGTGTGGGGAGCATCAGGCATAAGAGATAGGTCTCCTGGAGCTCGGAGAGAGTGGACTGCCACGTTTTCCGAGATGTGAGGAGCAGGGGAGGCATGCAGGAGGCTGGAAGGCTGGAAAGGGACGAAGAGTCGCGGCTTTTCGGCTCGCTGCTCTGGACTTTGCCATAGCTTGTGTGCCACCGCTGGAAGTTGTCCCATGGTGATGCCTCCCGTCTGGCCGCGCCAGGGCGCGTAACCCAGCCCGGGGCGCCCCGTCCCGTGTCTGCGGAGCCCCCCCTCCCCGACAGCCTAATGCTGGGGAAGTGGAATTCCACTCTGGATGCCCCAGACCTGGGCAGCAACCGGGGGCAGAGTAGGTGGCGGATGGGATAAGAGGCAGGGGTGAGACAAGGAGCTGGGTGAGGAAGCGCGAAGTCACGCAGACCACGAATTCATGAATTGCCGCTGTGTCTGTCTGGAGCCCAGTTCGCGAACACTGGGAGTTCTCTCAGCTTCTGTCTGTATTTACAAGTCGAGAAGTTAAAATTGTTACCATCGTTGAACCAAACCCTATATTGTCATGGTTGGAGGGGGTGGCTATGAGGAACAGGATGGGTCACCAGGGAAAATGAAATTGTTTTTCTTCCCAACCTTTCCCTTGGAGCCAGGAAAAGACGAACCTGCTTGTGGATATGTGCGTCGGAGTGGGTTGGGGGCGCGGGCAATGGAGAGGAAGCTACTGCCTAAGAACAGCCAAGTCCCACTCTTGGTTTCATCGTCCTACCCCAAAACAGCCTCCCCTTCCCTCTTTCCCCTTTCCCCCTTCTTTCTAGTCTCCAGCCAGCCTCTCCTCTTCACTCTAGAGGAAAACCAGGTTTCTTGGCCAAAATTCAGTTCACAAGAGTCTTGAAAGACACACAGGTTGAAAATCAATCTTCATCACACCCCGTACCATTGAGAGGGATCTCATATCTGCAGTGCTCTCAAATTTCTAACCCGACACAAGCCAAATCTCGGTTCCTTTTGCTTATAGGTGGACTTTTCATGAGAAACACGGTGCAGGAGCACAGCGCTTTCCGCTTTGCCGTGCAGTTATACAACACCAACCAGAACACCACCGAGAAGCCCTTCCATTTGAATTACCACGTAGATCACTTGGATTCCTCCAATAGTTTTTCTGTGACTAACGCTTGTAAGTAGATCTGCTTTTACTCCCTCTGGGACCCTGCGGACCTCACTTGTATTCTGTGGGACTTGGGATCTGCATACATGCTGGGGAGGGGTGATAGCCTCAGTAGATATTTTAGGGGCGCTAGTCAATCCAGGTTTCATGCAGCATAAACCAACTCCGAAGGATCCTGCTGAGAGAGGGAATTAAGGCAGTGCAAAAACTCTATCATGAATAATGTTTGATGCAAAAGTTTCATTTTCCTCCTTGCTAAACCGGCAATTCCTCCCCCACACCTTTTTTTTTCTTTTGACTGAAAAAAATGAAAGAAAAAAATAGCATGGTTGTTCAGGGAAATTTCTTCAGATGAGATTAAAAAAAGAAGCCTCTTGATTGAGTCAATTCAGGATGTGCATTACTTGACTGTTAAATCTGGTGCCTGACTGTAGAAATGAGCTGAATTTGACAATTGCCAAATAGATAGGAGCCAAATGTGAGAAATTCTGCAAACAAATGACCTTGAAGGACAGATCAGGCTTGGTTGCCTGGCCTCTTTCTGTCCTAGAGTATCACCTTTCTTACCTAGAGAGCTCTGATAGCAACTGATAGGACTACAAACTGATTACAGATGATGAACACCTGGAAAATTGAGATGGGGAAGACAGTGCTCAGGTGACTATTTCGAAAGGTGCTTCTGTTTTGTCTTTCCTACTGTTGTTCACCCCGCTCATTGATAAGGACAACACAGTTTTTAACTTAGAGCAGAAGGCGGGGAGGGGCGGGGGAAGCTTGTAGCAGGCAAATATGAAAAAGAAGGAATTTCATTAGCCTCAAAACCATACCTAGTTGTGCCATGTTGATTGTTCCTCTGGAAAGGGGACATATTGAGAAGTAAAATCAAGGGAACCCAAATGACAGTCGGATACAAGTTTTTCTTGAATGGAATGTTTTATGTGAAAGACTGATAATTTTTCATCTAAGCTTATTGTACTAAAAGTTTTCACAACAATGAGGCTGATGATGGCATAAATGTGTTTTGCTTTTATGGCTTGTATAGTTTGGAATTTTTGTTTTCTGACTTTCATTCAAGGGAGAAGTTATATTTGTGTTCGGTTGTGTGAAACTTTATATAGGACTGAATTCAAAATCTTCTGCCTCAAAGGATATGTGATTTCCAAAAACTGTTGAAAGAGTCTCCAAGGGCACCAGTTCCTTCGATTTTAAGACTTAGGTCAAGAGGATGTGGGTGAAGTATTTCGCAAGAAATGTGACAATATTAGCTTTAAGAAAAATTTGGCTGAAGGTACAGATCCTTATATGAACATGTTCTGAGATACTCTGTATTTGATGTTCTTTGGCTTTCCAACATTGACAAAAATAGGAACTTATTAATTCCAGCTAAGTGTGAAAGTTACAAAATGTCTGTCTATACTTTGCATCTTATTTCAGTAATCCCAGCCTGTCTCTACATTACTTCCAGCACAAGCTGATTCTTAATCCTGCAGCACTGTGGTCTTGTCAAGGGGCTGAAGCTCAAAATGCAGCTTCCTAAGTATTAATAAGAGCAAATTTAAAACTAAATGTATGAAACTATCAGGATTTATTATAATTGATAACAAATAATATTTCAATTCTAGATCTTTTCCACTGATGAGGACTGGAAAAAGAGTGCTAACTGACTGCTCAGAAATGATTGATTTCCAAGGTTTTTAGTTCTTTTTTTATGGTCAAATCAGATTGACACCAGCCAGCTCAGAGCCATTGAAACTTTACTCAAGGAGCAATCAAGAAATGATCATTGTCATGTGAAAAGCTCAGGTTTGAGAACAGGCAATAAGTCATCCATTTGATGTTGAGTTGCCTTAATGCTTTACCTCTCAGGGAGGGAAAAGAAACTGGTCCCCCCGCCTACCACACACGCACCCTAAATCCACAGCCCTTCTGCTAACAAGCTTACAAGGCCAGGCTATAGGTTCAGGCTTCAAAGTGTGGGATAAGAGGCATGGCTCACTGGGCAACAAGAAAGACAAAACAAAAAGGTGACTTTGCCTTTAGTTATGCCAAATACATACATATGCACACACTGACACACACAGGAGAAATATCCAGAAACCAGTGATGTGCACCCAGCTGCCTGTTGCACTCTCAGTCTTCACATCTCAGAAGACAGAGGAGGAAAGCTGTCATCTTCTCTGGTCCCTAAAACTGTCCTTTCTGAATGTCACAATCATTGAATGGGGGCCAGATCTTAAAGCTGTCTCCCAGCAGCTGCTGCCTAGTAGCTTAGTATGAGAAAGATGACTAGTACAACCACAGTCTAATAGTCTTTGAATGCAGAAAACAATCATTTCACAGGGCCAGGAAAGTCCTGGAAGTGTATCTCATATCTTTTGGGCCTTGATTGCTCTTTTTCTTTTGGAAGTTGAAGATTACATATTTCAGGTATCCACATACAATACTATAGTTCAGTACTAGAGTCTGGCAGGTGATCCCAAGTTCCATTCTTCCAATTGATTGCACTATTTTGCAGAGAAAGGAGCCCTAGATCCCCTGGCCTGCCCCTCCTTGGAGACCTAGGGAGAATTTGAGAAAATCCCAGTTAATTCCAAATCGGGTCACCCACCTCTCCTATCTAATTCAATATGGAATAGGATGGCAAGAATTAAAAAAAACTTTCCCCTGTTCACATTCAGAATTCTTAGCTGCAGCTTCGTCTAGAACTGAAATTGATTTCTTCCCATGATCTTCCCTGTGACCTCAATTCTGAGGCAGGCCCAAACTTTTGAGGGCATAGTTATGTGGGTAAACAAATACTCAAAGAATAAACAAAGGGTAATGCCTTCTGTGTGTCCCTGCTCTGTGCTCTCCCTCTGAATCCTCTCCTCCAAAGTATTCTGAAGGTTTCCTTGCAAGGAATCCCATGCATCAGTTATTTAAAGACTTTTCTTCACCAGCCATCTTTTTATTTTTTCCACAACTCCCGAGAGGTTTGTTTAAGACAGACTCCAACTTCATTGTGTCTTAAGAGGCCAATAAAAGCCTCTCTGGTTTTGAACGGTGGTTCATTTGGGATCTCAGCTCAGAGGTAAATTGAAGTTTATCAAAAAGACTTATCTGACTTGGAGCTCATGTTCCCATTTCATAGGAATTAATTGTTTGCTACTGTACTTTTCAATTTGGTGAGATAATCCCAGAAAGAAGGATGGTGTGAATAATATGATTTCAGGATACATACATTCGTACACACACACAGACAACCAAACATGTAAAATCAGTATACATAAAAAGAGATGTACACACATTTTAAGTTACATGTCTGTTCTTTAAAAAAACAGATTTGATCATCTTAGGGCTTTGGAAGATGTGAAAACACCAGGGGACTGCTAGGTCCCATTGGTGTGGCTTGGGTGCCCTGATTCCTCAGGAAACACCTCCAATTCCCTTGAAGTCCCCTTCTGTGTCTTGCTGCTGTGCACTTGTAGTGCACTCCACACTACATCGCCCCAGCCTCTGCAGTGTCAGCTCATTAGCACACAGATCTCATATTCCCTCTCCGCACTGTCATTGCAAAAATTGCTGTTGTACACCTTTACAGCCAACAAATGTGCTCGTGGATTACGCACTGTTTGCAAGAAGCAAGGAAAAGGCAAATGTAACCTTAAAGGTTATTCACCATGGAATTGTGCTCTAAATGCTTTGGCTTAAATAAAAATCTGTTGATGGAGGTGCAAGTAATAATGGGACTAAGAGTGGGACTTGGGAGTGCAGGCTGTAATGGAGCCCTAGGCAAAATCCCTTGTGCTGGCTAAATCTAACTCATCAGATGCATATTTTTATTTTATTATTTTTTCTGAGCCATTTGAAATATACCCGCTAACTGAGAGCATGCTCCTTTTATAACTGAGCACATTTGCTAACAGGTGTACTTAGCCAAGACAGGTTTCTGTCTCTTGCCCACAGTCACAATCTAATTATCTAATTATTCTAATTGTCAGGATCCATTTAACTGTTTAGGTCCATTTGAGAAGGAAATGTCTCCCCTGATCCTATTCTCTGCTCTTTGGTGGGATTTGTTTTGTTTTCGTGTTTGCCCTTTTCATGTAATCTTATGAACCAGGGTGAAGATGTACAGTATCAAATGGTTCTTCACATACTAACCAACGTCTACTGCTCCAGCTCCACCTCCCATCCCCATCCTTGTGCCCTTGCTGCTCTCCCTCTCTCCTCTGTCTGCTGGCCAGGCTTCAATAAGCTCACTGGCTTAGCTCACTTCTCAGCCCCTCTGGCCAGCTGGCTTAACCCACTGAAGCAGGAAGAGGTCGCCTCAGTGGTGTCAGTCAAAAATTTAACTCTCCTTCTCACAAGGTTTATTATGGGTTTTTTATGTGGAGAGGAGGGAAGACAGTGATGCTGTTCATTTGGGCCATAAAAATAGATGGCAATCAGCAGGTTGTAAAGGTGAGCTTCCAGCAAAGTATATTACCTCCCCTACAAGGCAGCTTCCTGTTGATCTTCTAAGGGGGTTGGGGGAGACAGGAAGGGTTTGTGGGAAAGGAACAAAGAAAACTATTTTGTTCTCCCTGCTTACTGCAAAATGAGCCACATTGTGTTTTCTCAGCAATTTTAACTTTTTTCCTTAAAATGAAACTAGTTTTCCACATCCCCTACTTCTGCCTTCATCAGAGGTTGTTTCCTCAATGCTGCATTTCTCTCCCTACCCCCCAAGATTGAATGAAAATAATGGGGGCTGGTTCAGATTTTTATTATATATTTTTGGCCCCTGATATATTTTTAAATTTCATTATTATGGATAGTCAGAGGTGATTGGCTGGTTTCATTTTAAGAGATTGAAAAATAAATGAAGCTGCTGAGGCGTTGTTATTAGTCTTCCTTTGTGAATAAGAGATTTGTCATTTTTATACAAGTGGTTAAAGGACTAAAAGGAAGCATGAATTTTAAGAGAGGGCCAGAATTTTAGAAGATAGAATTCATAATTTTGGGGGAGAAGAATACCATGATTTTCA